AGAAAATAAAGATAGTCAAGTAAGAAAATTGTGTTTATCTTCCTACGACGACGTTCGACCGGACGACATCTTGAAACTCAGCCGTACATTACAGAAAATTAATCGGAGATGAAACGAAATTGAGGTTATTTCTCTACATTTAGCACTTAAAGTGTTAAACGAATCTTGTTTAGTTAATATAAAGTGGTGTAAAGGATATTTTTAAATATTTTGACATTTTATTTAAAAGCACTCCGATATTTATGATATTCCGTAGAATCATTTTTTGTCAGATTACCCAAAAAAGATTTTTTTTTGAGATTTTTCCATTCAAATTTAAAATGTAGACTAAAACTTATTTAAAAGGAGTCAACAAACACAAGTTATCTTTAAAATTAGCTGAAATATGATAATTTTAATTTCTATTTTTAGGTTATGTTTCAACCCTGAATATAGCTTCAAAATTAGAATTATAATTTTAGGTTGGTAGCCCTTCAGATCAGCTGTCATGTCATCCCTTTAGTTTATTTTGACTTGTCATAGTCAGATTTGTGTTAGTTTTTAGATTTTTAATGATTTCGCCGATTCATTTTATTAAAACACGTCTTTTAATCGGAGCAATTTATTTTGGAGTAATTCGAAGAGTCTTTTGAAGACAATTAATTGAAGAATTTAGACCATGAAGAAATCAATGTTCAAAAATCAATGATTTAGTGAAGAATTAAATGAAATCACGCCGATAATGAAGATAATTTAGGACGAGTTTAACGATTAATACCAAAATTAATCGGAGTTGAAACAAAATTGAGGCTATTTCTCTACTTTTAGAACTTAAAATGTTAAACGAATCTTGTTTAATTAATATAAAGTGATGGAAAGGGTGTTTTTTAAAAATTTTGACATTTCAATTAAAAGCACTCCAATATTTATGGTTCTTCGTAGACTCATTTTTCGTCCGGTTGCTCAAAAAATAATTTGTTTTTGAGATTTTTCCGTTCAAATTTAAAATCTAGATTAAAAGTTATTTAAAACAAATCTTTAAAATTAGCTAAAATATGATAATTTTAATTTATATTTATAGGTTATGTTTCAACCCTGAATATAGCCTCAAAATTAAAATAATAACTTTAGGTTGGTAGCCCTTTAGATCAGCTGTCATATCATCCCTTTAGTTTATTTCTATCTTGTCATTGTCAAATTTGTGTTGGTTTTTATATTTTTCATCATTTCGTCGCTTTATTTTATTTAAACACTGCTTATTTTAATCGGAGTTACTTATTTTGAAGTATTTCGAAGAATCTTTAGAAGAAAATTAATTGAAGAATTAAGATGAAGAAAAGAACGTTTAATTTTATGGAAAACAACATTAAAACAAGGTTTGTACTCAANGAAGAAAAGAACGTTTAATTTTATGGAAAACAACATTAAAACAAGGTTTGTACTCAAATAAACTATATAATCAAAGATTTAGTGAAGAATTAGGTTATATCAGGTCGATAATGAAGATAATTTAGAATGGGTTTAACGATTAAGACAAAAATTGATCGGAGTTGAAACGAAATTGAGGTTATTTCTCTAATTTTAGCACTTAAAATGTTAAATGATAATCTCGTTTAATTAATATAGTGATGGAAAGGATATTTTTTTAAAGTTTTGTCATTTCATTTAAAAACACTCCAATATTTATGGTTCTCCGTAAACTCATTTTTCGTCTGGTTGCTCAAAAAATAATTTGTTTTTGAGATTTTTCCGTTCAAATTAAAATCTAGATTAAAAGTTATTTAAAACAAATCTTTAAAATTAGCTAAAATATGATAATTTTAATTTCTATTTTTAGGTTATGTTTCAACCATGAATATAGCCTCAAAATTAGAATTATAATTTTAGGTTGGTAGCCCTTCAGATCAGCTGTCATGTCATCCCTTTAGTTTATTTCTATCTTGTCATTGTTAAATTTGTTTGGTTTTTATATTTTTCATCATTTCGCCGCTTTATTTTATTTAAACGCTGCTTATTTTAATCGGAGTTACTTACTTTGAAGTATTTCGAAGAATTTTTAGAAGAAAATTAATTGAAGAATTAAGATGAAGAAATAATTTTGTGGAAAACAACATTAAAGCAAGGTTTGTACTCAAATAAATCATATAATTAAAGATTTAGTGAAGAATTAGATGATATCAGGCTGATAATTTAGACAGCACTCTGATTTTTATGGATCTCCGTTGACTCATTTTTCGTCCGATTGCCCAAAAAAACTTTTTTTTTAAGACTTTTCCATTCAAATTTTAAAATCTTGGTTAAAAGTTATTTAAAAAAAATTAACAATAACAAATTATCTTTAAAATACCTGAATTATGATTAATTTAGACATTTTTTGGAGTTAACCTCAAAATTAGAATTATAATTTTAGGTTGGTACCCCTTCAGATCAGCTGTCATTGTCAGATTTGTGTTGATTTTTCATCATTTCGCCGCTTTATTTTATTTAAACACGACCTATTTTAATCGGAATTGTTTATTTTCAAGTATTTCGAAGAATCTTTAAAAGAAAATTAATTGAATTACGACCATAAAGAATTTTATGGTTCTTCGTTGACTCATATTTCGTCCGATTTCCCAAAAAATAATTTTTTTTTTAGATTTTTCCGTTCAAATTTAAAATAGACTAAAAATAATCGTTAAAATTAGCCGAGATAACTTTTCATTTCTATTTTTAGGTTATGTTTCAAACCTGAAGTTAGCTACTTTTAGAGGTTAAATGTCATTTTGATGTTTTTAAATAAAAAAATTTAATTAAAATAAAAAATTACCGCATATTTGTTCATTCCTAATTTTTTCGCCTCCTTATTCAAAGAATCATATAACGATAACAATGAAACGTAA